ATTATATATATATATGTATATATATATAACTAGACGAACTTATGGTTGTACGGCAGTGAAGCATCAGTGCCAACACTGATGTTGCTGTCTTTGATGGTGATGATGATGATGCTGGTGATGCTGCTGCTGCTGATGATGATGTTGAAGGTGTTTCCTTCAGGCCTGCAGCATGGCAATGTTCATGAAAGCAACGAACTCGAAGGTCGGCCCTAAAAACCGCACATTCCGATCGCCCAACGGTCGACTGTGACCGCTGACGCATTATTTACTACAGTCAAAATAGTTTCAAGATCAAAGATTCTAATGCTGCTCAAAAAGCACCTTACTGACTGTGCCCTTGGATTAGGCGAGTCCCCTGCACCCGAAACAATTGAGCCTCAGCTCCTGCGGGGTCCTAGCAAACATGACAACTACTGCCTCGTGGATCAGACTTTTGAGTCAGGCTAGGGCAAGGATCCCAGAACGGAACCCCACATCCTCACACTAACTTGTGGGTCGGACTTTTAAGTCAAAGGCTGAAGATGGGGTACCCCAACCAAACCTCCTTTCTGGGCCTGAGCTACCGGCAAGTGTAATTTGTCCACCGATGTGGACTTGAACCCTAACCTCCTGCTTGCTGATGAGCCTACTGGGGTAGTAGACAAATCTGTCTACATTAGCAGGTCTATCAGTTCCGTTGGTGTAACCAAAGATGGTTTTGGAAGAATATAACAACGTTTGTGGACCTGCATCAACTATGGCGCGGAATCCACATCAGGTTATCTGTCAAGTTTCGAGTATAAAATGCTGCGGTGTGCTCCATAGTATTATACGAGCCAGAAACCTCGCCACTGCACACTGAGGACGTAAAAAGACTTTTAGTGGCTGATTAATAATGTCTTCGGATTATTGTTCCAGTGGGACTCGGTGGGAACACCGAGAACAGAGGGAACATTTTCCATAAATACAAGCAGGGTCGGTGTTGTGTCCAGTACCCAGTGATTGAGTGAAACTAATAGCGTCGTGCCACAGGCACCGTGTAAACATGTGGCGATCCCGTTCCAGTATGAATTCACCTTTGATGGTGCGGAAGTTGGAAGAGACTCCACAAGACGATTCCATTAAATTCGTTCAACACCCACATCTGCCATTCTCTCAGTTACTAGGCCCTGCAGTACCCGCAAAATGAAGAGAGAAGTGAATCCAGACGAGTGTGTGGTCGCAATACACAGGTGTTCTGAAACGAGCAGCAGTCGGTTATTAATCCACGGTATCGGTGACTGATCAAATTGGGTTCGTGGATGGCCCACTGTTGGAAGACCATATGTGGCCAGAGGACTTTACTGATTTCGGACATTTTTACTGCCCAGAAACAGTCTGTGGCGGGACATATTCAAAGGACTCGCTCGCTATTGCCCGTACGTACCGAGTCCAGTTCATGTCCACCAGCCAACTGTTTCAGATTCCGTGGGCCTGCCTACTTGTGCATTAGGATCTCTGGCAAGCACAGGAAGATATGAGCTTTCAGCTAGCTGTAACAGAACATTTAGGGTGCTAACATTAAACGCAGTCAGACAAACTGGGCGTTAAGGCCTTAAGGTTGATTTCGAGCTGCCTGAGACTCAGCGCCGGACGACGCACAAATGCTGCTGGCAAAACCAACGCAGGACCAACGGATTCATTAGTCTGAGCTGATGGGCGTACAAAAAGGGAATTACTAATGGGATGGGAAGAGGAAAAGACAAAAGCTTATGAAAGGAAAATAAGGGAGGCGTCAGCAGCACATCGTTTTCGCTTACCCACCCTGCTGTATGCGGTAAGTAAGGCAACCCTGCTGATGGCATCGTTCGACAGCTTATGTGACATGGTACTGTTTGTAGTGGTTTATGGTTGTACGTGGGCTGGGATACCGCCCGGGCGCCCAGACTTATACAGGAAGACGGTTAGGGTCATCAACCAAAGCCTTTTGCTCAAAAGCCTGACCGGAATGCAGCGGTGTTCACTGGGAAACTGAAGTGCATGACCATTTTTATAGAACAAGTCGCCACACATGTTCATATCTCCAGAAGACTGTGTTGGCACACATGTAACCATTTACCAACCTGGTATGGTAGTGCTAGCGTCACACGGATACTCCCCAATATCGCTCAATGCGTCAGAGAGGTACACGATCCGTCATTCCACGCTAAAGTGCATGCTTTTCGTAGTCTGAAGGACTACGGATAGCCGAGCAGTAAACGAAACGGTTTAGCGTTAATCTGTCACGAACTTTGAACGTACATTCATCCAGCCACTCAGTGTGGTTAATTGCAAGCAGATAGCTAACGTAGTTTGGCAGACCTCTCTTGCAGTATCTTTAGAGAAGCCCTGGAAACGTCACGAACTTCTTCCTGTAGGACAGCCAGGTTTTATGGTGAACTTGATGCTTTACCATCGGATCATATTTTAAGCTCTGCATTCTTTCTATTCTAGCTGTTTTGCGGAACACATGATACACCAGCATATGTAGCATACATAGTGCGTGGATGGTGTGTGTATCCGAATATATCCCTTAACTAAAGCACCAGATGCACCACTTATTCCGTTTACTGTTAGTTTTCGAAGTTTTTTTTGGTATCATCGCATGCGAGCTGTTTCGGATACATCCGTACTTAGGCACCTGAATACGCCTAGGGTCACTCTCCCGCAAAATCCTCGTCGCACAACTGTGCCACAATGGTCCTCGTTAGTCTGAGGCAATGTTAAAACCCAGTGGTATACCTTTTTGGCTCAGCAGCATAAGTCGATCCTAACATCCTATGAACTTCACGTGCTTGGCTAGCAATACCATATTTTCTCTTATGTATCTTTGCTGACTGTTCATCTGCACTCATCTTTCAAACATTAGTATTGTTGAGAACTAAGGCGAACTATTCATACGCATGTACATAATTTATCTCTTACAATCACTTTTACTTTCACAACGCGGTTTACCTTACTCATTGTGGTTTTCAATTGTTCTGGAATACCTCCAACCCGTTGCGTACCTACACGAATTTCTGGTATCCAAAGTATCACTGTTTTTTTTGAAATGCTTCCTTCCTCAACTTTGCGCCTCCTTCCAGGGAAGGTTGTGATGCCCATGATGGCATTGTGATGCGCGGGCACAGCAATTATGTCGCAGCGATCGCTGTATTCACTACCCAGGACGGTGTTCAATGGATTTTCACCGGATCTCACGACAAGCAAATTCTGGCCTATGCATCTGGGCATTCCGAACCCGCCTATAGTTTAAAAGGTCACGATGATACGGGTTTGTGTGTCGTTTGTTGCTAACTTGTCTCCATTCAGTTTGTTGTCTGGCCGTTGATGTTCGCGGAATACTGGTCAGTGGATCGTGGGATAAATCCGTCAAGATATGGTGGAAAAGGCAATGCGTGGCGACTCTACAGGGTAATTCGACTTATAGGCTATTCTTTGCTTGTTGCTTCATCGATACATCATTCTGTTTATTAAAGGCTGGTTGCGCCCGTTTGGTTTTTCGTGTCCGTTTTGTGATGATCATTTAACCTGTGCGTTTGTCTACATATAACTAGTTTAAAAATGTCCGAGTCAGTAGTCGGAACCTAGTGTGATTGAGAGTAAGTGTCCGACATGTTTTGACCCTTTTACCACGTTGAATGACGGCTATTTTCGGCTTGACCTATGAAGAGGATCCCGACCAACTCTTGGCCTAGGGTAGTCCGGTTGCAGCAGTACCCAAAACGCATTCAGACTTTTACATCAACTCACCGACTTCTCATGCGTTTGAATCCACCGGTCATCTTCGTGGAAGGATATGGATGAGTCTTTTGCACCAACGACCTCTGAGGCATACGTATGTATGCCCGAAGTACTCTTCCTGGGTATCAGCGTTCCTAGTTAACCGTAATGTTTTACTTGAAGAAGTGGCGCACAAAATCATAAAACGTTTGGATGAATACGGTAACAACCATGCAATATTGTTTGAAAACAGGTGTTGCATGAAGACTTACCTTTTGGAATCTCGATATTCGAGGGGGAGGGTGAGGTGGCCCAAGCAGTTAGGGCGCGAATCTACTGACCGGAAGGTCCATGGTTCGAACTCAACCTCTGCCTCTCCACGTCCCCTGTCTAGGCTTGGGCAACCTGGCAGTATCCCACCCTCGTGCTTCCTTCTGGTGGCGTGGTAATTAGGCACTGAAAGGGTGCTACTGCTGAATGAAAGGCCGTCAGTAAACGGGAGCAGTGGTTACGAAACGATGTATGCTTGGCACAGTTTTCTCTTGGGGGGGGGTAGAGATTTGGAACTACTGGGTCGAAGGTCAGAGACATGGGTCAGTGGAAGTGGAGGCTTTCACTATGCTCCGAAGTGAAGAAATTCCGTTTTTCATTGAATACTCTAGCCCTGTGACTAATAAGCATTGCCTTGTGAATAATGGCTTTGCAATACTTTAAGAAAACCTTTCGGTGCCTAGCTGCCATGCCACACGAAGGTTGCACGAGAGCTGGGATACTGCCAGGTTGCCCAAGCCTAGACAGAGGAAGTCGAGAGGGAGAGATCAAGTTTGAACCACGGACTTTCAGCTCAAACCACTTGGGCCATCTCGCCCTCTTGCAATACTTTAGAGCAGTTGCATAGTCGGACCGGTTGAATTGGCCACATCTTCGGTACCAATGGTTCTTATATGTAACGGAAAAGGAATAAGCGTGGTTAAGCTGTTCGCGGAAAGTGGGGAATAACTCGGGACATGTTACCAAACAACACACGAGTCAAATTAACGGGGAATCATTTGTACCGCGGCAGTTCCATCCGCGTTGGAGTTGTTGCGACAAACAGTGACCTAAATTAAAGTTTCAGTCACCCTGGTATCTGCCATCTACCAGGACGGGGTGCTTGAAACCCGTCCAGTGGCTGGGTGGGGACCAACAGTACAGCCGAACCTTAAAAACAGTAGTGCGCCTATTTTCGTCCAATCATATTCAATTGTTAAATCTGATTCCTTTTGATTTCCCGCATCTTTCATTACTTTCGTTGGTGGGCATTCCGTAGTGGGTATTCGGTTGACGACTGAAGGTCTAAGTCGAACCCAATTCCTAATGTCAGTCAGTAATAGCGCTCTTTTAGACCGTGATATGGTTCATCCGCTTATATAGTCTGTTTTGTTGTCCCTGAAGCCCTGTTTAGGCTTGGTTATGCTTTCATCTGCCATGATATTTCTTACTTTATCATAAAATTCTATTCTCAGGCCATGAAGCGGCTGTCTGGTGCGTTTTACCTCTGCCAAAGTCCTGCTTCTCCGGTACATCTGATTCGGATTTGTTACTCGCAACCGGATCGGCTGATCGTTTGCTACGTATCTGGCGTGTACAGAATGTGCTCGATGCTACTGGCCAACAGACTACCACGTTACTCGCTACTCTTCGTGGACACAACGATTGCATTCGCGGACTCGCTTTGATAGACGATGAACGTATACTGTCTGCTAGTAATGACGCAAGTATCCGTGCTTGGCACGTGCCTACGGGGCAGTGCGTTGGTGAATTTTACGGTCACACGAGCTATATCTATGGGATTGCAAGCCGAATTGACTTGGGTATTTTCGTCTCATCAGGTGAAGATCGGTGCGTACGCGTGTGGTCTATTCCATCCACGAGCGAATGGGGTACCGGAATGCAGTTCGGCTCCAAGCAGTCAATCCCTTTGCCATGTCAGTCAGCATGGTGTGTGACACTCACACCTGCTGGAGACGTTGTAGTTGGGGGTAGGTAAGTTTTATCTGTCGGTAATGTAATCTTCTCCTCACATTTCATCCGACATTTATTGTGTGTTTGCTATTGAAACTGATAGTAAGACACCAATGTGAGTCCGTCAACTCTACTTCTCCACTGTAGTGACTCCGTGGTTCGCGTATTTTCTGCGGACCCGTCCAGACAGGCTCCCGAGGATGCCATCCAAACATATGAGGCCGAATTAGCCAGCTCGAAAATTGCTGTCCCCGATGCTGCTGGTACCGGTGATCTCGATCCTAACAAGCTTCCTGGAATGGAAGCACTTCTACAGCCAGGTAATTATCCAGCTTAATAGTAGTGCCAGTTTGACCTAATCATGTGTCCTGTTACCTTTACTGGATTTGGGTAAACCGCAAAACTAACTGACTGACTGATTGCAGGAGGACCCTTATTTCGTGTTTCAATTCTGCTATCGCCTCTTGCTTTGTACTGGTAATTTGCGAGCGAGATGGCTCAAGTGGTTAGAGCGCGAATTTACTGACCGGAAGGTCCGTGGTTCGAACCCCCGACCTCTGCCTCTCGACTTTTCCTGTCTAGGCTTGGGCAACCCGGCAGCATCCCAGCCCTTGTGCTTCCTTCGTGTGGCATGGCAGCTAGGCAACGAAAAGGTGCTACAGCTGAACGATGTGCTGACAATTTGCTATGGCGGAGCATCTGACAGAGAAGTCCGCGTTTAATGAGTACCCTTTATGACTACACAGCTTCAAAAAAAAACGCCAGGACTCAGGTGTCGGGGGGCGTCACAGATGGGAGATTTTTCCACTTGACAGAGTGACACTGATAGTGATTTAATGAAAATCTACAGCTCATGAACATGATTCCTACTTACAAAAAACATCTGCTAGGACTGCGCAGTTTCTATCACTTCACGCAGTGGTTTTCATTATGATTACGATAAACCAGATATGGAAATAAATTGAGAGGATCAGTCAACGATTACGGGGGTTTGTCTGCGTTTTGAATAACCTGTCTGTAAGTACTTGGTAATGTTTCTCATGCCTTCTCATTCTACGTTGTAGTTGTCAGTTTGGTGTCACTGCACTGGTGATTCCCGTGGTATGATGATAATCCTTTCCGATTGAGATTGTCTTGAAGTGACGTGGCTAGAATTCCCTCTGTGACTAACTCGGTTTTTCACGGCGTTGTGGACACGATAATGGCAAGCTTGCTGCTCACATCTACTCATTAGAAGCTACTTGTGTGATTCGTTAAAAAGCTATTGAGAAGCTGAGAAGTGGAAGCTAGTGTACGAGAATGGTTTTACGTTCCAATACGAGCCCAGTATCTTTGTTGAAATCAATTGATTCTTCCAAGTACTCTGAAGTTGGCGCGGTGCTTGACTTACTTGAAGTGTTTTCAAAATTTCCAGGAGTGGTAGAGTACGTTGTGTCGAATATGTACGCGGCACCACAGAAGTAGTAGCTTCCACGTGGCATGCTGTCATCCTGTAATTTGCTTTAAGCGACTATCTCGTGAGTTACAATAAGTCGGCTTCGGGCGTATTTCGAGCGCCAAGTGCCCAAACACTGATTATCTTCTGTGATTCTGTCGGCTTACTTCTGGGACCCGATTCTCAACGCAGCAACAACCTTACATGAGCCTTGTCGGCGGTATGAAAAGAAAACATTCAATAAAAAGTAATTTTTTCGCTGTCACTAGCACCTCGTCCCTGTTTATAGGAATCCCGTATATATGTATACGGGAATGATTGCTGCCACCGACCAACTAACTTTTCATATCTCTAAAAGGTAGTGTTCCGAAAAGGTAAGGAATTTCGGTCATTTCTGAAGGCGTTTTTTCGTAGACTTGGTGGGTTTGGCTAATCACACTGGGTACACCTATCACGTCGCTCTTCAATTTTCCATCTAGGCAGACGAGAGGGTCAGGTGATTGTTGTTCGCGTTTCCGACCGGTCTGTCTGTTACCAGTGGTCTGGCGCCGAGACACGTTGGGTGGAAATCGGTGATGTTGTTGGAACCGGTCAGTCGAAGCTATCCGTGTACAATGGCAAGGTGAGTGAAAACAATCTATTGCAGAGCATCACCTTTAAGAAGGTCCGAACGGTCCGAAAAATTAGCTCTCGTTCAATAGGTATTTGGGAATCTGGTGAGTACTCTTGATCTGTACGGATTCAGCCTTCTATGGGTCACCAAGTTGCTTCGCCGCCACATCAACGATTCTTGTAAAGAACAGTAAAGCTATATGAACCCGTGAGCAGTATTTGTAAACTTGCATCAGGTATGGTTTTGAAACGAATGTCAGTCTATTTAGAAGGTTATGTAAACTGTAACAGAGGAGTATTACGTCATAGTTGCAGTATTGCACCCTCCCTAGCTGAAAATTATGAAGCCTTTCAGAGAGTACTTTCGTAACATAGAAGAGAGGACTAGGCAACATATTCGCAACACTGTGGTGAGTGACGGTGTAAATTGGTAGCGAGGACAGCGAACAAAGCGAAGGTGGTTATGACCTACTCTGTGTGACATCACCGTCTACAAAAGAAAGCGTTTTATGTTGGAAACACTTGTTCACCATGCCATAGTCACGCTAGGTGAAAGGAACTGCCATCCACCCGGTGGTCTTTTTGGGCCCTCTTGCCCGGGACCCACCCAGTTCTCCAGAGGATACCATCTCTTTGTCGTTGTGCACTGCGTTTACGTTGAGGTGTTTTCGCGAAGGATACGCAATCGATCCCACTATCAACAGGACTATCGACAGGACGCTTATTTCATTTCTGTCCCAGGCACCTCATTGTTCTTTTTCTCCAAGCATGCACAGTATTCTTTGCACGAATTTCCCTCCCTTTCGCTTCTCTGTACTGGGACGTTATTGTTTAAGGCAGCCAAGTGGCAGTACTCGCCCCTGGTGGATTGCCGTTATTGACAATGACGAAGCCAATTTCGTCGTTTCAGTTTCTGCGTTTGTTGTAGATACCATATGTCTCACGATGATCTGTAGGTGGCCCATTTTTTCTGAATTTCTCGCGCGTACATAGATAATAGCTGTATTCCCCACTCCATTAGGTAAACCCCATCGAACTATTGGGTTGCATAAGTGGTTACAGCAGTTATATGACAGAAAGTGTGAGTTCAACATTCTGGTTGAGGGTTGTTTGATTCTCTGCATGGACTTTCTCATTAGGTGGTCAGCGACATCGGAGGAGTGTAGGTTTCGGGGCTGAAGATCCACCGTTTCTTCTCTTCTTCGGCGATTTCGTGTTCAACGCACCATGGTTAGTTTTTGACCCCCACTAAATTCGTGTGACCTTGCTTGCTGTGGACGTCTGTTGCTTGTTGACCCCAACAGCAGACTTCTCACCTGTTTATCTAGATGGGTTGATTTTTTGTAGTTTGGTCCCAACCACTTGTAGGCACTAATGGCTTCACGATGGCGCCTCTTCGTTTCGCCAGTTGGCTTTCTCAGGAAACGACAGAGGGCCAAATTTGTTTGTTAATCAGGTGTGATATTGTGGGTAATCACGGTTGCCAGCCAGAATATCTTGCACCTTGACGGCATGCACTACTTATATGGTTACTGGAAACTTTTCAACAGTCCGCGACCGGTTTCGCCCTTTCTGGTGCTCATCAAGTAGGCGTAGGTCATAAGTTTCTACCAACCATGTGCTCTAACTAGGCGTGATAATGGGAGACTCAACGGAATCACGTCAGCTAGAGCTGCAGTTGCCCTCATATGAAGATACTTGTCTTGAGTGGTCCTCTGAAACGCTTTCCAGTTGTCAATTCCTTATAATTTCGACCACTTCAGACGGTCTGTCCAGAGGGGATTACATGTTTCATTTATGTTCTATCGCTATTTCCTTCCTGCTGCTTTCCAGGAATATGACTTCGTCTTCTCTGTTGATATCGTGGATGGTGCAGCCCCTCTGAAGTTGCCGTACAATCGCACCGATGACCCTTGGGTTGCTGCGCAACGGTTCATTCATCAGCACGATCTTCCACAAGATTATCTGGATACCATCGCACAGTTCATAATCAAGAACGCCGGTCCTAAAATCAGCGCTCCGACGAATAGCGATCTGGCTTATGTTGATCCATTTACGGGCGCTGACCGTTATGTTCCCGGTACAACCGGTCCCACTTCGCCATCATCTGCTGCCTCGAGCGATCGATACTTTCCGGTCAACACATTCATTTCTTTGAAAAGTCTCAGTTTGAACCCCTTGATAAGTATGTTCCGACGGATTTCATATTCCTCATTGTCCATTTGTTCACTTTACATTCGGCCACAGCAACATAACATATCACGCGGATATGGGTTTATGGAGTCACCTAACTTGTTTAAAAACAAGATGGACATCTCCTCACACCTGTGAGGATATGGGCGTTCTAGCTGTATCCCAGCACACGTAGAAGTGCATTGTTCTAAGACGCGGGTGGACCCTCAGTCAAGCGCATTGTTCTAAGACGCGGGTGAACCCTCAGTCATCGTGTAGTAACGGTATTTTTCTCAGCTTAGTTCTCGGTTTAGGCCTCTCAAGGTAGCGTTCACGTCAAAACAACTACGAAAGGTGCACAGGGTATATTAACGCCCGAAACAAAGTCAGGAACACTTGTACAGCGCTTGATATATATAGCGTAGGTGGCAATAACTTTCTAGGAATTCTGGCGCGTTCTGGATGCGCCATTGGCAACCGGTATTCGGCTAATACTGGGTCATGATTGGGTGTTGGGTCCAGACTTTCGACCAGTTAGATCTCGGCTTGATGTCGGACCGGCAAGCGTCCCGAATTCTCGGCCAATCTTGTGTGGGATGGACTTCTCGGCCGTAGCAGCACCTGAGTGCGAGCGGTAAAGAGGGATCCGTGTGGAATTCTTCCTCACACATCTGCTTGCCTGCATCTGAAATAAGGAGACAGTCATAGAACTCTGGGGGGAATCGGTGGTAGTGTCCATTTTCAAAAAAAGAAGCACGTAGTGAGTGCAACAATCATAGGAAGTCTGACTCTTGGTGACTCTTGGCATCACCTGTCCTTCACCACCTTATGGTGACTCGAGAACAGCAAGCGGGACTCCGGCCTGATATGTGTTGCGTTGTCCAGATTTAGAACAACGCCATACGTATAAACAACCCAAAAGTTTAGTATTTCTGGATATCCAAAGCACCACAGACTCGGTTGAGCAGTATGTTCTCTACGCAAATTGGTGTTCTTCAGAGGTGCCCGCTCTCCCCATACCTATTTGATTCCGTGATCGACAAGATCATGAGTCAAACACTCTGAAGTCTTCAAAATCCTGGTGTTCAAATAGCCTCTGGCGATAACCTTGTCGACCTGGAATATGCAGATGACATCGTTCCCATATTCAAACACAACATAAGTGTTTTTGGATGAACTGACGAAAGTTATCGCGTCCTTTGGCACGCCACTTACAATCCAGGGAGAGACACTCGAAGTTGTGGGGTGCTTCAAGTAAATTGGAAGTTTTATTAGTTCCGATTCTAGTGTGACGAAGGAGATCGATTTAGAATGCTACATGTTTCGATTCGCGTTTGCTAATTTGAGACAGGACTTGTTTCTCAGGTTACAGTGCGGGCCTTTATGTTGTATGGCACTGAGACTAGACCTGTGCTAGCAGCAGGTTTTCGACAACCGTTGTCCCAGAACCATAACTCGTGGGGTTTAGTGTCGGCCAATCCGTAGCGATTACTTGACCTGCGTAATTTTAGTCCCGTATTATGTGAATTTTGCTGATAATCGAATATTCCGAAGTTACATTTACTTGTCAGTTATTAGCTTCCAAACGTTTTTAAGGGGCGTTCAATCAGAAATCAACCGAAAACTGACATTCACGAGATTGTATCATGTCTCTGATTTGCTAATTGTGGACCGAGTACTTCATGTTTTTGTTTGGGATCATGTTAACTCAACCGTAAAACGAGTGCAACTATAAAAGACTCCAGTTTATTTTGGAGATTTGTCTATCGCTGATCTCCCTATCTCGGTATCTGTTTACACCTAGACGTGGACACTTGGTTGGCTTGAGCTTAGTAATGATGCTTTTTACGAGTTACGTGGTGGTCCTTAACAAGACAAATTAAACACAATCACAGTAATGGTGTCTTCAGGAAACATTTCAGATGCACCAAACAAAACCGGCAGGTACTGTGGGATCTTGAGCCTAGAGACTATCGTTGTCTCCCTCTACTCTAAGTATGAAGTTTATGGTCTTTCTTCGCAAACTACCATCGAAAAAATAAGAATTGAGTACTTCTTCCAAGCACAACACCAATAACTGGTCTACGATAGATCGTCAACCAACTCCCCTTCATTCCAAAATGCAGATCCTTGTCTCCTCGGATTCCTTAGAGCTAGAACGAGAAGGTAACCTGTACTCAGCCGTTTACGGTTTGATAATCATTGTCCGGGTGCTTGACCTGTAGCCAACAACTCAAATATCGCGAAAATTTATCGAAAAAG